CCTTTTGAGTTTACGCAAAATGATATCCATAAAGATTGAACCATCAGTTTCAGTGACTTATTTGAATATCCTCAAACTGGATGAGAGGCACGTATTGCATCTTTCTTTTGCTGCTTATGAAAGCTGTCCAACGTGAGTCATCAGTCCATTCCAAAAAATGACTCGCATGGGGGAAGCCAGAGAGCAGACTTGTAAAGGTGGCAATTTGAGAAATTTCAATTGGCCACTGTGCATAAATTTGCAACTTAAACACCTGATGGAAGTTGCAATTATTGCTTCCCAATGCATTCTATTGTGAATGTAATAAATTGGACCCCATTTTATACTTCAGTTTGTCTAATTTTTCACAAACCTGTCTTGCAAAATTCTTTGAATATGTCTGAAAGCTTCACTATGATTATCTGACAATAGTGAGGTGCACAGAATGCGTCTGAAATATACAACGGATCATTCTGAGTCACGAATTTGCAGTAGAGCTTTTGACAACTGGACGTGCACAACTGATTGTGTATGGACAAATCAACTGAGATGTCAGTGCCTTTTAACCATGTGATAGTCCTCAAGATCAGAGTGGATCAATAATTCTAATGCACACGTCTCGCTTGTTTACTGTGCTGGTTTCTTGGGCCATCGATACAGATTTGGTCGTCTGACCTATAAAAGTGCACCAAATGTGTCCTCTGTATGTAGCATCCTTTGCTAGATTTACTTAATTCATGGTAAAAATTTAAAAAGGCATGGCTCTGAAGAATGTAGTAAAGTGAAAAGTCTTGTTCCTGTGAATCACAACATTAACAGGTGTTTGCCTCAAATTTTGTAATGTGTAGGGAGGGTGGCTGTGCCAGAGAAGCCTTTCATAGCTTGGAAAGAAACCTTGAAAGTGTTGTAGGCTATTGAAAGTTTTACCTTCTGCATTCTGGGCAATGCTACACTCCTGCATATACTACCATGCCCTGATACTTGTGGACAAAGAAGTATTTTAATGTACACTGTGTCCAAAAACATTAAGATTTACACCAAATTTAATTAATGGCCTTAATTCCACTTTGCTAAGCAAGTTTCATACAGTATGCAAAACCTTTACTTTTGTGTGTATTATATTAATACGTACATGGGTATATACAAGCCCTTTTGTTCATTGGGGTGAAGCATGCAAATTCTAGCACAAGGAAGATTGTTATCACTCGATCTCAATTCCAAGTTCTTGTCACTTACAAATTGGGTGTAAATGTTAAATTAGAAGTTTAAAAAGTGCAGTTTCCCGAAGGAGTGCTTGTATGGAAATAAATGTCTGTAAATTATAGATTTCTAAGAATGAATTTCTGCTGACATTTGCAGTTGATCATGATATATACAGAAAGGCCATGGTTAACTTGAAACCAGTTGGTTTGCCGAGCAGGTTCAGTGAGTAGCATCAACAGCCGATAATGGAAAATGTTGCATGAAAAATCTAATAATAGAGCTAAATAATTCATCTAAGTTCTACTCATAAATTATTGGGATTTCCGTTTCCAACTGTCACCCTTAATGCGAAGTTGTCACAATCCATATTTGGTCAAACAATGCTCCAGAGGTGCAGGATGCATTATCTTCAGGGAAAGGCTTTTCTGTTCAGCGTTTCGTAACCTGCTCAGCCAATTGTTCATCCCAAATGGCTGAAGAATTGCTTGCATACTACAGTTGTAATGGCTGGACTCAGTTCTTTTTTGTTACGATAAAGAAACTGTACATTGTTTTCCGTTTGAAGCTTTGTAAATTTGCAGTAAGTTTGTGTGACTGAAATTGAATATGCACTTGTGTTTCTGTAAATGCATTTCTCATAATGTATTCCTTGAAGTGGATAATTTAATAAAAACTTGCATTTAAAATGTTGCTTTTAAAGGTGTGAGGAGAGATGTTGCAAAGTGTTTTATAGGATTTACTGTAAAATGTAGTAACTGCATTTTATAGGTACATACAACGTCTACTTTGGAAGGTGGATGGGGGGGATTAATACAAAGGAAGAAGGCACTTCCATCAATGCAGATCACCCAAGCACTACATTGGGGTACATTACTCAACGGTAATATTCTGATCAAAGTTTAATGACTTTCTCCTACTACACTAGCCAAAAGCTATGTCAATCAGTCACAGTAGAGAGTTGAAAAGTTGATTAACATCCTTTGTTTGTGACGTAACCTAGCATTTTCTTCTCTCCACTCTAATTAGCATCTGTAAAATCCAAAAGTGTCTTGCTTTATGTACAATGAAGTGTGATACTAAAATAGAAGTATTTGATCCAATCTCAGTCATATTTCAATGTAAAATTGTCAGACTAAACTCTTAGGAAGGGAACCTTTCTATTACTCAGGAATGATTAGGTTGTGCACTGGAATTAAAAATAATTAGTGATGATTTGGAATAAAACTTTTAATTGGCTTGAATTTGGTCAGATTCTCGAAATGGAATACTTGTTTCAAAATATGGTCTGAACAATGAAAGCAGAGATTATGTAATAATTTAGCTCCATTAAATAAATGCTTTTAAGCGGAGAACCATACTAAATAAAATACAGTGGAGGTGGGAAAGAGACAAAAGGATAGAATAGATTTTTGATTTTCAGAATTTATGGTGGATTAGAATTCTGCAAATATTGATGGTACTGCCACAATGTAATTTCTGTTTAAATGATTGAAAATACTTTCAACTTCTGCCATGGACATAGAACTTAATGTTTATGTACAAAAGGGACAATGGCAGTCAACAGTCAAAACAAGTCAAATGTGCATCTATTATCTTACATTTGTTGTAATGCCTTATCAAATTGTTTCAGCACTTCACTGAATATATTGTAAGGTGATGACTATAATTTGTGGGCAAACGCAGCAGCCAATTTGACACAGCAATATCCCACAAACAGCCATGGAGTGAGTGACAAATTTTATTTAGAGTTTGTTGGAGAATCTCCCTTCTCTTTTCAAATAATGCCATGGGATCTTTAACATCCACATGGCCAGACAGATGGAACCTCGACTTAAATATCTCATCCCAATGACAGAGTCTTTAACAATGAAGCACTGCATTGGAGTTTCAGTCTGGACCAGAGTATATGGGGCCCAAGCCGTTGCATGGGGCTTAAACCCACAATCTTCTGACCAATGTGAGTGTTACCAACTGAGCCATTGGAACAAAGGTGATTAGAGAGAGAAGTAAATCAAGAGCTCAAACTATTCTATTGTGCCACTGTGTCAGAAAGTGGTGAAAATTAATGTAATAATGCTTATTATTGAAATGACTGACATTTGAACAAACTCTTCTGATCAATGAACAAAATACCTATAAATCAATAAGAAAAAAAATTGATTGAAGTTGTACTATCACAGTAAATTGTATCTAGTTGTAATGGCAGCTCTTCAACATAGGCAAGTCAATTCAGTTTTCTAAAGAATGCAGTTTTAAGACAATTTTTAAGGATCAGTCATGAAAAAAACAGTAGTAGCTGATAAACACAGTTTTCTCGCAGAGAAGGTAGTCTATCTATTACAAAAACAAAATTACATTTATAGAGCGCCTTTCATATCAGGAGGACATCCCAAGGCATTGGACAGTCAGGGGTCAGGACACAAGCATGGGGGAAGGGTGGGGTAGGTGTGAGGGAAGTCAGAGAGGTCTGGGAGAGAGACTGAAGGCATCAAAGAGGAGGGTTTCGAGACCTGCCTTGAAGGAGGCAAGGGAGGAAGCGAGGTGAAGGGAATGTGGGATGGAGTTCAAGAGTGTGGGGACAGAGTGGCTGAAAGCTCGGCCACCGATGGTAGGGCGGGTCGGGTGGGAGACATGAAGCAGGCCGGAGCCCACTGAATGGAGGAAGCGGGCAGGTTGGTAGGGAGTCAGCAGGTCAGAGAGGTAGGAAGGGGCAAGGCCATGAATGGCCTTGAAAGTGAGGACGAGGATTTTGAATTCGATCCTCTGAGGAATGGGGAGCCAGTGGAGTTGGGCGAGAGTGGGAGTGATGGTGTCACGGAGCCTGGTGTGCGAGAGTACATGAGCTGCAGAGTTTTGGATGATCTACAGATTGTGAAGGGAAGAGTTGAGAAGGCCGATAAGGAGGGAGTTTCCATAATCAAGCCTTGATGTGATGAATGCGTGGGTGAGGGCTTCGGCAGCCTGAGGGGTGAGGCTGTGGCAGAGTCTGGCAATGTTGCGGAGGTGGTGATAGGCAGTGCCGGTCATGGCGTGAAGCAAGGACAGTTCAGGGTCAAACAAGACACCCAGGTTCCTGACTGGCACAGTGAGGCTGGGTGTGCAGCTGTGGATGCTCATGCTGCCAGGGCCTGAAGTGTGAAGGCGCTGGCGCGAGCCGTTCAGGAGGACCTCGGTCTTGCTGACGTTCAGCTGGAGAAAGTTGTCCTTCAACTTAGGTATTGGTACTCACCAGTTTCAATTCAGTGCTGCTCTACACAACAGTTTATTGAGCATAGATAATAGACATTAACATTTGCTATAGTGGTGCATTTGATTTGTGCGTAGAATAAAACTGAACTGAACCACAAAAGCATAGTTTCAGATTGATTGAGCAAGAAGGAATCTTGGTTGCTAGGTCAGGAATGTATGGGTCCAGGTGAGGTTGATGGAAAATTAAACCGAGGAAAGGAAGAAGTGAACGCACTTTTGGAAAGAAAGATATGCTCACTGGTGCAACAAAATCAGTCAACCAAGACATAATGCAGAAATACAGAGTTTGGAGTTTACAGTAAATAAATGTTACTTGTATTACATTATAAGTAATTCAAGAGGCAGAGACTTGACCCTGAATAGACGACGATAGGGCACGTGTTGATGTAGAAGACAGCTTTGATAAGCAGTGTTTAGGGACTGTTATGTAGGAAAATGCAAAATGAACAAGCATTTTAACATCCAAAAGATAGGTAATAGTTCAGGGAACTCAATGAATGAGGCCCAATCCAGGTTTACCAAACATAGAAACACAGATAAATTGGACTTCTGTCAATAATTGTAAATCCAGATTCGTTTTTACTCATAAACAGTGAAATGACACAGAGACCTTTAAATATCACATTTATGTGTGTTTTAGTGCATTATTTGCTTACACAAGAAGCATATATATCTTTCAGATTATCAGAATAAAGAATCCAGGACAGGTAATCTGCTGATTTCAATGGTTAAAAATGTAATTTTACAAGCCTAGGACAAAAGAACTTCTGATGTTCACAAGCTGTTTACAAATGACTCACAGATTATGATAAAAACTCACTGTTTAACTGAGATGGAAGTACCTCAACTCAACGGCTAAAGCATTTACACTTAGCAGCAGCTAAAGAAACTGATGGTTAGCTTGATGACAATCTATGAGTCTTTGGAGCTTCACTGACATTCAGTAATCCATAACTACAAGAAAGTGACATATTCTTAGTAATTTGTTAGCTTCCAGTGTATTTTAAATGTTTTGTGGATGACCAACGATGGACGATTACATTATTGGTTAATAATGGCCAAATTCATCATTCTCCTTCCTGAGGTTACTATGCGATTTGGAAATCATTACCAATTTCTCTCTGTTTGTGTACTGTCTCTGCACAGGTTGATGAGGTTTGTCTGCCTTTTCTTCACTGCCTGACTTTGTGCTTTCCTGGATGTTGTCTTTATCAGGATTCTCTGTGCAATCACCAGACTGGTCTATGGGTTCTGGTAATACTTTAGAGGATTGAAAGGAATTCTCCCCATCATCTAACGTTAAGTAGCCCTTATTGTTAGTGCGGTCTAAATGTGGGAGGCTTGGATGGCTCATCTCACCCTGCATCTCTGAAGTGGAAGTGTTGTCACCAAGGTCCAGTGATTTTGAGTCAGCTGGCAACATTTGCAGGGAAAGATTGGACTCCAGTTCTGTTTGACATGGAGCAGGAGGCAGAAGCTGTACTTGCGACCCCTCATGGGAAGGACTCTGTGAGCCTTTCTTGGATACTTGTTGATTATCATTTAACCTTGAAGTTTCTGGTTCAACATCCTGTTTATTATCTGCAAGGTGCTCGTTGCTTATGCTTACATGCCCTGGGATGCATTCACTTTCCCCTAGCTGATCGGAGGCAACACAGTCCAATTCCTGTGGAGTTTCTTTACTTTTTTCTGACACCTGGTCTTTGTCTCCGTTTCTGTTACATCTGGGGTCCCCTTCGTCCAAGACACAATTGTTCAGTTTGATGACTGGCAGTGTGAATGCATTAATGGAAGAAGTGACGATAGATTTAGCTCCACACATTTTGGGCAACTGAGCCCTTTCATTCATCCTGTTTCTGTCTCTACAAATACTGTAGACTGTATCTGAGAAGGTCTTTCTCTCTTTGGGAACAGATTGCTTCTGTTTTGTTACAGAATCGCAGTGATTTTTGCCAGCGTTTTCCTTTAATCCAAGCTGTTTAACAGTATTGCTAACAGGTGTCCGCCAGGTATTTTTGGCCAACATTGCTGCACAGTAGGAATCAGGAGACTTGAGATTATCCATGCTCTTGGACTGAACGTAATTCACAAACCCATTAAAAGGAACACTGTCCTTTGTCCTTAAATTGTGTACATCTATGACTGTGGAATAAATGTCTCGTAGGTTAATTATCTTAGTTTTCTTGTCTCTGTTTTCATGAAGAACTGCATTGGCACAGATAAACAGAAATATACCAATCCCCATAATCAGAGGCCCAAAAACTTTCAATTTGTCAGAATGCAAGTAGCTGGCTAAAAAGTTAGAAATGATTTCCAGAGAAGTTGTCTCTAGCCTAGTGCTGTTGGTGGCATTGTGAGCTAGGACTGTATTCGCTTCAAAAATGTCATTTTTCTTAGGCCAGTAGCCCATCACTGCCATTGCAACCCCTACCAACAGAACAAGGATCCCAAAGGCAGCGATCACTCCTGAGATAGAGCACAGCTTCAATTTACCCTTCACTACCACCACATCATTCTTGTGTTTCTTTTTGGCTTTCCTCTTGCGTTTACTGACATGATTGTGGGAGCGGAAAGAATCTTGCCTCCTGGCTGAAATACGAAGAAGCCCTCCTGTTGCTATCATGATAGATCGGCTTAACAGTTAATCTCTGAAACAAACAAAAACAGAAAGTTGATTGAAGAACAAGAACACGCATGGCAACAATGGGGGCAATTTTGCATTGTTTCTTATCAGATTTCTTAATTACAAAATGGATTTCCTTTGCATTTCCACATCATGGCCTTCATGGCTTCTTAATGAAGAAATCCATTAAAGAATCCTGCAAAATTGACCAGATGTACCTAACTATTATGGAACAATCAATGTTAATTAATAACTGGGGAGTCGAATGCTGCAGACAGCAATAGTGTAGTTCTAAACCATCAAGTGTGAACCATTAACCATCAAACCGTTTCTAGACCTATGGCAAGAGGTTTGAAATAAGAGCAGAAAATGCTGCAAATACACAGCAGGTCGATCAGCATTTCAAAGTGAACTATAGATTAATGGATTTTTCTTTCAGATGCTAAATGGTCTGCAGTGCATTTTCAGTATTTTCATTTATTTCAAATTTGCAGAATTTTCAGTTCTGTTCACCTATGCCACGCTTTACCAGTAGTGTTGCCGTACAGTTTCAGGCAGGTGTAGATAATTGGTTTATTTAGCCTATCTACCCAACTTCTCAAAAGACACATCTAGCTCATCTAATAACCCTGAATCCTTTCAATTTCCAGGAACTTGCCGAGCTCGTATCTGAAACTCTTTATAGTTCCGTCTTCTACCGACCACATTGACTGTTTCCAATGGACTCGAGTGAATAAACACATTGTGGTTATATGGTACTCTAGCTTAGGAGTGGATAGAATGACAGGTGACCAGATGGATACATTAGATTGGGCATTAAAGAAATTGGGAAGTTTATACTAGAGAGAAAGTAGTATAAAGGGGATCTTCCTGACATTTTACAGGCCTAAAAGGTACAAATAATTTGAACTCCAATAAGATGTTTGGCAAGGTCAAGAAGCCGCAAAGAGGCCTAAGTTTCAGGAGGAAGGTGAATAGTCTATTTAGACGTAACTTGTTCCACACGGAGGTTGGTGAACATGTAACATCAGTAGCGAGCAGATTTTTGCCCAAGGAGGTAGCAGAGGCAGACCGTGTCAATTATTTTAAGATAGAATTAAATAGGTATAAAATGAGGATAAGAGGGGTACAAGAGATAACTAGCAGTCCTAATTTAACAATGGAATTGAACAGATACATCATAAGTTTTTGCTTTTATGTATTCACAACTTGTTTGGCGTAAATCATCTCATAAACTAGCATCTTAAAATATATAAGGTCTGAGTCGATAATTTTTTGTATCGTAGAACAGAAACATAATTGCCAATTCCGTAACGCTGCACCAGCCAAATAAGTGTGTATTTTTTCCCACAAATCTGGTAAAGTTCACAAAGTAAACATTCTATGTCTAAACTTTAACTGTTTTAATACATAACTGATGTAACTTAAAAGAAAATAACAGTATCATGTAGCACATGTGTGCTACTTTGCAATCTAGTAGCATTAATCCCCAAATCAGAATACGATTCTTCAAAGATCACATGGAGTGTTACAGCACAGAAACGAGGCTGTTCAGACCACCTACTGAACAGGCCATTCAGACTATCAACTAGATTTGATGAAAGCTACTTGGGGTTGCTCAATATTCCTGTAGCTTACAAAAAAATGTAAAACAAAGTAGGAAACAAAATAGTTAAAGGAAGCAAGTTATCTAGGTGATACACCATTCAGCACTCTCCCCTTATTAATTATAAACTTCAATAAATACAATAAATATAATAGGTATAATGAGAATTACCAGCATGACCAAATCATCTGTTTCAAATTACAGTGATCTTAAACTATTTTCATAACCATAGAATGCTTATCAGATATTTCCCAAATGAAAATGTTGATAGTTATTGCTTTATAAGCATCTGGATTCTAATATGTAGATAAATATAAAGTACATTTGCGGTAATAATTACATTTCAAGTTGATTTATAATATGTCTCAAAATCAATAGTGATGCATCAATATCACCAGCTATGAATTGAATCAGGCCACATTGATTCATTGACATGTGCTCAAAAAGGTTTCTATCGGATTTGTTTATTAATAAGCACATATTATTTCCAGGTCACAATGATGACAACTGCGGAATAAAGATGCTGAAAATATGTGAGTAAAGTAGTTTCAACAGAGGTAGTGTAATTGTTTTTTTTCCCTCTAGGGCAGAAAAAACCTGGATTGCTTCTTTATAATATTTGTCCTTATTTAACATGTTGCTGAAATTGGCCTTCAGGTCACTAAGCCACTGGGTGAAATTCAGTATTTATCAAATACTCGGATTAGTAAACTGCATTAAATAAATAACATTATCATATTTAATTGATTGAATCTTGGCACTAATTTTTAATATTGCAAAACCCAGACTTTTGTAAATGAGAATATGAAAAATAGAAATAAGAAAGATAATTGAGTCTGTTTATCTCATGCTAAAATCAATAATAATAATCTTTACATTTGATATAATGTCTCATCACTTCATTGATATGTCTCAAAGGATACACTGTAAAGTGGTGGGACTGGGTGTATTTTGTGGTCCAACGTAACAGCCAATTTTACATACAGCATTATCCCACAAATAACCATGGAGTGAGAGATCAATTTTATTTGGGGGATTGTTGGCCGGAGATTCCAGAGAAACTCCCGAATGGTGCCTGGAGAGGTAGCGGGGCCTCGGTTTAACGTCTCACCTGAAGGACAGCACCTCCAACATGGATTATTATTATTATAACGTTGCAGTAGACTGCAATGGAGTGTCAGCACATACTATATGGGGCTTGAACCCACAAGCTTCTGACTCAGAGGCAAGAATGCTACCAACTAAAGCCAGGCTGATACACAAGGTTCATATTCAATACCAGGATATATCTAAATGCACTGAACAGTGCTAAATCCAGAAACTACATCCAAGGCTTAGTACAGTAATTAATGAGATCTATCATTTAGATTTCCCAAAGACTGGATCTGTATTTTTAGCTGCTGTTAGTCGATTTCATCTTTCAGAGCTAAGAGAAAACAATATGATTATTAACCAAAGAATCAGTAGCAACTGTAAGAATTATGCTGGTAAATGTGTATTTGAGCTCTAAGGCACAACTGTGATATTTCATAACAAATTCAAATCAAAACACTGCTGAAATGTTGCAAATTTTCACCCTCTAGGCTCACTGTGCAATAAATGAATGTAACGGTTGAGTGGAATAAAAGATGAAAAGGCAAACTGTGAAGTGAGAAAACAACAGAAATCAGAACAAAATAATACATAGATCTGTGCATGTAAAAAAACATTTACAGGTTTACAGTTGAAAAAAAATAAAAAATTGAATGGGAAAAGTAGTCATTTTATCCCAGTAAAAAATTCACCAGTTTTACTGCCATAAGATTTGCTGACACACTGTGTTACAGTGTTACAGTTTTCCCCTTCAGGATATGGAGAACAATTCCTTTGTGTGCTCCCAGAACTCCAGTGAAATTCCTTAAAACCTGAAAAATAATTTCTGGAGAAATGTTGTCTATCAGAAGCTGCAAAGCATGTGCTTTAGGAGTCTTAGGTATGTACTGTATTGCTTCTGGTATTTACCAAAAAAAATAAGATGGATGATCTTTGCAAACGATCTAATATAATGTATCTAACTAAATAATTTCCCTGAAATATTCTGAAATTGATATTTTGTTACATTCTCATCTTTCCCCATTTGCTCGCAAAATATACAGAACAAATCAATGTCCTTGTATCCATACCAATTAGAACAATAAAGCCATGTTCATTTATTGCTATTGGGGCACAATGCATCTTAGCAATGATTTTTTTTAGTCTGACCTGAATGCTCACAAGTTATAAAGCTATCTCTCAATGCCAACGGAGTACTTTAATACGCCAGGTCACTTATGTAACTTGTGTTTGGCTAGCCATAGGGTTCTGCTACAAAGATTGAAACCCAAACTTTGTAGCCTGACCCTGACTGGAGATTTATCATTTTTGGGGGGTCAGCTGGCTGTCTGACACATGAGGAAACCCATTGCCATGATTAAGAGTATGCAAACCAAGCTGGGATTCCCATGCATCCCACATGGAAATCCCAGAGATAGATTGTTAGAATGGAATGTGCACTCTCTCCGGAACGTATTAGGCACAGGTTGGCTAAAACCACATAGCTTGCCATTGATATTGCTGTCTGGCAAGGCTTTCCTGCTGCTTGTCCAACTAGGGCCGTCCCACCCATGAAAAATAATCTCATGGTAAATCTCTTGCGAGATTTATCATAAGAGATCATGATTTCATTTAATACAGAGTAGAAAATCACTTGGAAATTTGCCTCTACTGGGGGTGCGTAGCATGTATACACTCCTCTGTGGGGAAAATAATTCTGATCTTCTGTGAGGTAAGTAAATCAGTACCAGTGTCTTCTTTGATCAGGGACCACATTTAATAACCTAACATATATGCTAACTAGGTCTTATCCTTCTAAATCAAGCCTGCATTGTATTCCCTTATCCTGAACGCCAGTGAAAGCAGGTTTAGTTCTGAGAATAGTTGATGATCACAACCAAATCCATTCCTCTTTTACTGATGACGCATTCATTAGGTCTCCATGTTTTTTGGGGGGCGGGGGGGAGGGTGTTACTTTAATTTGCCTACATCAAATCAGTTTGCCTTTCCCTCGCCTTTCCCTGTTTTTTTTACATAGAATTTCATAGACACTGCAGCACAAAAAAGGCCATTCAGTCCCACTAGACTGAGCTAGTGTCAATACTATGAATAAGATTCCACACCTCCTAATCCCATCTCCCTCTCCTCCTCCTATATCAGCTATCACCTTCTCCATTATGACAATATTGAAATTAGTCTGGTCAAGTCATTCCTATTCCTGTCATTTCACTGTATGGCTCACTGTCCAGCATAGGAAAAGACTGCAGCATCTGTCTGCTCCCAGCTTTCAAAAACACCATCGTCTCCCTCTCTCTGTATTGCTTATAAA